GAAAAGAAATAACTTACAGTAACACACTGTGCCAGACAGGCAGCATATGATTTTGATACACAGGATGTCAGACTGGTTTCAGCTCCTCCTCTATAAGGAGTACACCACTTTCATCTCTGCCAGACACATGTGATTTTTATAGTTCAACAAAAGTCTTATTTCTATTTCCTTGGATATCCTCGCCTGGTTTCATTTGTCCTTGTCTTTTTTTGTTGTATTGTGTTGTTTTCGCCTTTCTTCAATCCAGAATTCTATCTTTACATCTTCTTGTTTCCTCCTTGTTGGGGCGTAATCCTCCTTATTTATCTCCTTATTTCCAAAATATGCTAAATTTATCCCATACCAGCTTGTCTTCAAAATTGTTTCAAAATGAGAAAGACATTATGTACCGTGGGTACAGAGATGAGAGGGGTTTCACCTTCACCGTGAATTAGAATGAACTTTTTGTATTTGACCTCTGCCCTCTGACGTCATGTGTTTGATACGTTCCTCACAGATAAAAGCCCAGTTTTCTTCCATCGTGTGACAAAGTGTTGTGTGTTTCAGTGGAAAAGCAACATGGCTAATGACACAAATTGAAAACACACAGATCTCAATGCTGCAAAACTCTCTTGCTCCATCTGGGACATGCATCAGCCAGATCTGATGTAAAATACCGAAACAGGACAAATATGCTGGCAGAGATTTAGATTTGACAAAGTTGAAAAATAAAGTCACAATTTCAACTAGCTGCTTATTTTGCTTAAATTTTTTGACTCCAGAAAATTTGATAAAGAAATTTGTAAGTCCAATTTGCTAAAGTCAGTAATCACAAATTATGTCAATTCTTCCTGTGGTCAGTTTGTACTTTGATTTTATACTCAACCATTGACTTCTTGTATGCATGGCTGTTTGAAGGTACTCTTGCTTCCCACAGTCAGTAAACACGCTGAACTACCCATAAAGCTGAGTGTGTGTGTAGTGCTGCAATGTAACTGTGTTAGCTTGTGATGAACTGTCCACCTGTAGCTCCATCCTCTTCCCACTCCAGATAAAGTAGATGGAGATCATGGATGGGATGCAGCAGCAAGCATCGCTGACCTACACATGGCTTAATGCGTTTATCAGGTCAGGAAACCCGAGCGGCGTGTGGCTTTGTGATGGAGAAAGACAAGAGCGCAGGAGTCAAATCCTAAAGCAGGATTATCAATCTGCTGTCGGAATGAAAATAACATGACAATTCGACCCCTTCACACACTTTACCATTTCTTTCTCTCTCTCTAATACGCACAAACACACACATGCACCCACACACCTACACACACACAGCTGCTAGGTGAATTATCCTCCCTGCATGGATGGAACACAAACTGAAGTGGAAACCAGAAACCCCCAAACTGGCCTCTAATGACTTGAGAAATGCGTTTGTTACTTGTTAACGTTTCTCTTCCCGCCTCTTCAACAGATCAGTGTGAGAAAGAATTTGTGTGGGTGTGTGAGAGAGTTGCTGTGTGTAAATAGTGCCTTATTCACCCCTCAAATCACATTACTGATATTATTTCGGTAAACGTTTTGCTGTCTCTGAACTGGATGTTCCATTCATACATGTGTCACTGTGTTTACTATGTTTATAGATGTAGAGGCAGGAGTTCAAACGTTCAGATTAGATTTTTTTTCCCCCCTTTGTCAAGTCAACAAATAAATATTGATCTGAAATAGAAACTCAAGATGGTCCAGAGATAAAAAGAGAAGAACTAAGATTTTTATAATCTTACCAGGATCCCACACTTAGCAGAACTTCTGTGATCCCAAACTGACCAATTAATAAGGTCAGGAAAAAACTCATGTTAGCAATCAGCAGTTGACAAATCAAGTATATAGTTCCCAGTTATGTTTCAAAATTAAAACCAAATAGCCTGGGTTTGAATAACTACATTTGATAACATCATTAATCACAAATTAGCTTGTTTGACAACTCATGAATCATATTGATGTTGCACAACAAGCATCAAGTCATTCATTGAAAATACATTCAACACTCTGTTAGCATAAACTGAACATAAGCCCAGGCATCACAGCCACTTGAGTAAGAATGCCACAAGCATTAGCATTTCAAAAGATGTCAAAAACACCATCAATATAATACAGCCAATGGCAGTTTAGCTGAACTGTTAAAGGGGCAGTGTGATGTAAAATTGACTTTCTTGAGTTTTAGATAATATCATTCGGTCATCAAAACACACCTTGAGTGTTGCCTTGATTCTTTCATGCATGTTTGAGACATTCTTAAATCTCCATGGCAACCATTCACCTAACGCCTGGTTGGACCTAGCTCCGCCTTTGAGGACGAAGCTCCTCCTCCTCTGATCTGTAGTTTTCAAGCTTCCAAAAACTTCGCAGGGCAGCCCTCTCCCATAAGCACCCCACTCAGCTCCTTCAGACTAGCTTGCAGCAATTAGCAAACACCTGGTGAAGCTGTGCATCAGTCGAGCTCATTATATGAGCTACTTCTGTGGAACGCTGGTAAAAACGTTGCGTTGACTTCATGAATGCAGAGTTTCAGAAAGAGCAGGAGTTTCTTAAAAAGACAGAGACCCAATTTCACGACGTTAAACTAGGAAGTCATTTTTTTAAAGTTATGTTTGACACTTATATACATATAGCATTTTTATAACAACTGAAGGTGACATAGTTGCTTGATTGTGACATAAAATAGTACAATGTGCCTGAAAAACACATAACACTGCCCCTTTAAGGGCACTTAAAAGAGGCAGAAACAATAAGTAGTTCTGTTTCAGTTACTGTTCACTGTAATAATTTTATCCACAAATTTATCATAAATCTATGATATCTATGATGGAGCTCCGTTCCACGAACGCAGAACTGAAACAAGAGACAAAACGGGACCTAGAAAGAGATCCTAGCGGTAAAACTAACACAAGGATCCAAACATCCTGGTAACTCCATGTCAAGTCTTCATCGAGTTTTTGGGTGTAAAAGGCAGACAGCTCCATGCACAGCCAGCACTTTTATAACAGCGCCCCCAGTGGCTGGATGCATGAACAGGTTATAGGTTTGGAAAAGTTGGCTAAATGGCTGCAGTTACGTTTTCTTGCCTATGTTTTTACTTTGTGCCACGCTCACCTGAAGAGTCTCTGAACTGGTCCAGATTAAAAGTTGAGTCTTTAATCCAGAGTAGAGACAGTTGATGGGTTGATTGTGTGCTGACAGAAAGAGATGTATTGCTGCTCTTTAATATGATTACGTTGCACAAGCAGAAGATTAGTTCTTTGTCATCCCCCAGTGAGAAAACGCGTACCCAATGACAGGCACACACGTGTTCGACGCTTTCTGAGCGGTTCTGTCAGCCTGGAGGGAAAAGAGTTTGATAATGTAATCCCAAGCTTGGGGATTTTTCTCACAACTCATGTTTTTCCTCAGACTCGCTAATGTCCCGTCTCTCATCCCACATCTCTTTCCTTTCCAAATCTAACCTCCAGCAAAGGGAAACGTTTATAGATGCGTGGAGGTCTGCATCACATTAGGATAATTTCTCTCTTTCATCGGGAGGAATCAAAGCTAAAAATGACAACTGAATCCAAGATGAGGAATCTGTTCATCCTCATCCTGAAACCTGCGTCAGAAGATCAAAGACTGAATATGAATGTAAGCGGCACAAAAAAAAGGTACAGCCAATTTATTCAGGTAGAGATGTACAGCAGCACCTCGCAAAGGGACTCAAAGATGGAAATTTTTGACTTTCAGTCACGACATGAACTCAAAGGTTCAAGTATTTTGTGTGTTTCTGTATTTTGCTTCGAGTCTGTTGGGTTAGTTCTCTGACAACTTTGCAAATCTGAAGGTTTTGATCATTCATGTTGGATGGAGTGCATATGTGAACATCAGTTTTCAAGCCTTACCATGGGTTTTCAATTGGATTTAGTTTTGGACTTTGACTGGGCCATTCTAACAATAAAGAAGAAAACATCTACTGTAGCTTTGTCCATATCTTAAGGATCTCAAGTCTCTAGCAGCTTTTCACAGGTTTTCTTGTCTTACATTTGGCTCCTTTCGTCGCCGACCAACTTCCCCGACTCTGCTTAAGAAAAGCATCCCACAGCACGATTCTGCCGCTACCATGTTATATTGTGTGTGATATTTCGTTTTTGAGCACATTTGGCGTTTTGCATGCAGTACGGTGAGAGTGATGGAGACGACTTATAGGATGTTTTAGTGCCAACATGAATGAGATTTGTTTTTTCTCTGATGAGATGAAGAAAATGATTAGAAAAACAGTGATTGAGCTGTTTTTCTACAGCGATAGTAAAACGAGGTAGATAGTAAAACGTAGAGCCCCAAGAACTAAGCCGTGGGGAACCCCAGCTCTAACGAAGGATGACGGACTGAAAAGATGTTAAATGAACTGAAATAATGAATGTTTTACTTCTCCTCTGCTTTCCCCACCATTACAACCGGTGTTCCCCAAGGCTCAGTCCTCGGGCCCTTACGTTTAGAGGTACTTTCTGATGAAGATTCTTCTTAGGATTAAAAAGCATTAATATCTTTACTATTGACATTTCTGAAAGTATCAATAGATACTGGTTGTTGCTCCTGGATTAAATTCATGGATCCATTTTTGTGGACATTAATCTGTGTAACCACTGCTCTCTGCAGGTATGTTGACATTGGGAGGACTCTGACAGACCTCCAGTCATGGGGCTTCTTTTCTGCACCAAATTACTCTGCAGGCTGGCTGCAGCGTGGCTCCCCCTGTTCTTCTCATCACTCCTACTGCATACGGTAAATCATTATTGCAGACGCTGTTGATTTATTCTGAATGGGAGCAGTTAAAGTTACAATGTCAGGAGAGGTGAATAACCATTTGCTTTCTTATAAAGAGCAATGCAGGTGGCTTTACTTTTTACCATTTTCTACTGAAATATTAAGTCCAAGGTGGACAGTTTGAATAATGAAAAAAAAAAGTCCTCTCTTAATTTTCTCCTCTTTTATTAAACCTTCATTGTCCTTCATGTGTGCCGTAGCTGGTCCATGGCGTTCCCTCCTGCCCGCGGAGCTGCAGCTGCCCAGGCACTAAGGAGGTCCACTGCACCTTCAGGCACCTCGCCACCATTCCCAAGGCCTTCCCTAAAACCACAGAGAGGCTCAACTTGGGGTAAGACTCAGCCACATCGGTCAGAACAGGAGCCATGTCGTCACTATGGGGAATGGAAACTCTCCCCCCTCGTCAGGATACTACAAGGAACAGAGTGGAATTGAAATGTTCTCAGTAGACAACAAACGATCAAGCACTTACGGAAGCAGTTCTGTTTTTGCATTTTATCTTTGTCTTGGAACACTGGAGACAAGTCCCTCGTTGTCCACAGCGGACCCCAGTACTTGTTGGGGGTTAGGAACCCAAAATACATTTTCTAGTAATTGAGACCTCTAAAAATGTTTTTCGACTACCTATTTTAATAAGACATCAAGTATACCTTAACATACTACGAATGTATCTCAACAGTTTGGCAACCACCATGATTTTTAATGACTTTTTGCATGAACGAGCTAATTTTAATTATCTTATTCAATTTGAATGGAAACGCCACAATTGCAAAGTGACATATTTTCGGCATTGCAAACGTTTTTGCGCGCATTTGTATCAGAAACACAGCTGGTGACACTAGGCTGCAGCTCCTTGTGATGAACACAAGAAAAAGAGCTTATGGCAAGTAAAATAATCACTACAGGTTGTAGTCATAGAAACAACCAGCTGTAGTTGAGTCCACACAGTGGAGTGCATCTGCTTTTGCTAACAGAAAAGCACTAACTCTCCAGGGTTTGAAGCTCAGCCCCCGATGGGGAAACCTACACGAAAATGTGTGCATTGATGGTAGCGGAAGACACTGGGGATGAAAGTGAGATCCGCATGATATATCGCCAGCTGGCTGGTTTGAACGAATGGTGGGCAGTAGGGGGGGACCAGATCCAGCTGACACTTTGATTTGCTGCAGTAAATCACATTTTGTTCTCGAACCTTCTGAGTTTGGTCAGAATGAGAAACCTCTTGTCTGAGAAAGTTTTTCTAAACCCTACACCTTAAAGCTACATGCTACTTACTGTCTCCACGCTAAAACTACATGGTTGAGAGGTGGAGAAAATCACTGCAGGTCAGAGGTTGGCCAAATTCTCTCTGCTACTCTTCCATCCTCCACTCTGTCATTCCCGCCAGTGTTTTTCTTAACTTTCCCTTCAGTGTGCTCATTCCCCAGACAAACACTGGCTAACAGCTAGTAGCATGCCTCTCGATCCCCACCTTCAATAGCAGACCACCCGACAGATCATAAAGGTTTCCTGCTTGTTTTCTTTCTGTTACAGTTACAATAGCCTGACAGAGGTGGAGGGGTCAGAGTTCAGGCCGTTGCGGCAACTGGAAATGCTCATGTTGCATGGAAACGACATTAGCAGGGTCCAGCCTGGGGCTTTCTACACCCTGCGGTCACTGCAGGTACGTTTTGTTTCTGTTGGGTGCTTATGGCAGCTGTAGCATGTTTAGAAGTAAAAACAAAATTTTTTTAATTATAGTAGCAAAATGGTGACGCAAGTGAGTGTGTTGGTGGTAGTAACGTCTTTACTGGCCGAGTCACTAATATATCTGTATTCACAAACGTCCACCAGACAGTTCTGCACAGAACTGTCTGCATATTACTAAGTTCTAAAATGTTTGCTCCGTTCCCTGAAACGACGCAATTTAACAATTGACAATTATCAGGAAGTGTTAACTGGATTAATACTTGAACTAATTCTTTGGTTTTGTTTTGCTTTTGATCAATTTTAGCAGATCACAACCTGAGAACCAATGTAACCAAGGGAAACGTTTGATCAAAACTAATGTACATCTTACAGAACTTCCTGCATATGTTGTTTTCACTTCTGTCTGCAGATAATTTTTCTGGGTCAAAAAGTCCCCCTCAAAAAAAAACAAAAAAACAAAAACCAGCCTAGATTAAGTTAGAAGTAGACGTGAAAAGTTTGCCCTGCTGTATTACTCCTCAGACGACTTTGCTTTCTAAATGTTACTGTAATTTTCTTCAGGGCTGGAACATCACAAACTAAAATTGTGGTAATGAGGTCGGCAAACGCTAGTGCATGCAGAGTGCTGAAAAACAAAGTCATAGTAATTCTTTCCTACATGACCCCTACTTTAGACAGTAATTAGCTGCACTTTGATTGCTTCCCTGTTGCCAGGTGCATATGGCTGCAATTACGGCCTGAAGTTGATCTCTAGCAAAGCAAAAGTCAATGCCAATGAAACAGATGAGAAACAATTTACCCAATACATTGAGCCAATTGGAAAATACACTGGGAATTTAAAGCAGGACACTGGACCTTATGTGACTTAATATTACCTGACCAGACTGAGACGGAACATCTGTTTGGTTAATTCTCAGGACCAGAGTCTATAAGCTGCAGTTGCTATTGGAGGTTAGCTGTTTCTCAATGTAAAATAGCTAATAGAAAGTATACTTTCTTATTTTATTTCAAATAGATCCTGAAGCTGAGCTACAACAAGCTCACATCAGTGAGTTCTGGTCTCTTCGAGGGCCTGGTCACTCTGATCCGGCTCCACCTGGATCACAACCTTATAAGTTTTATAGAGCCCTACTCCTTTTCTGGTCTGACCTCTCTAAAACTCCTACAACTGGAAGGGAACCAGCTGAACCAGATCCATCCTCACACCTTCATAACGGTCTCGGTACTAGGAAGCTTTTGGACCTCTGGACTCAAGTAAGAAACCAAACAACCGGCGGAGCTATGTTTCAGTTGTACATTTCTTAAATTTTAGGCCAAGAATTTTACCTAATGCATCTAGAATATATACGCAGTGCACAATTACTGATAAAAAAACCATGTTGTTCTTTTCTTAGACACTTACACCTAGCTGATAACCTGCTGGAGGAGCTTCCTCCTGCGGCGTTAAAAACGGCTCCCAGGCTGGAGCTGCTCACGATCCACGGTAATCCCTGGAACTGCGACTGCCAGCTTCACTGGTTTGTGGAATGGAGCACTACTCACGAAGGTAAACTAATAAACGTTGATGAAAGATACATTTATAAGTTCATCTTCGTTGGAGAGGAGCTCATGTTTCTTTTTTTAAGTGTAGAAATGAAGAAGGTAAATAGCAAAAGCTTCTTTTAACGATGCACCTTCAAAAAACCTCAGCCAAAGACTTTGCAGTGCTCTGCAACCTTTATAATTATACTTAATTGACTAGTTGGGTTGGTTAGAGTTCTAGTTTTAATTTGTTTTTTGGGTTTGTTTTTTTTTAGTTTAAAGCTTATGTCAATTTAAGAAACATTTTTAAAAATTGCCTTAAAAAAAAGAATTGGTGTGTCTCCCTTTTTTGTCATGTCCTTTTGTCATGACAAAATAAAGTTTAATAATTAATTAATAAAGATGAATAGAGTTTCTTGGTCTCTCTGTCTATATCTAAATTGGGGCTCAACACAAGACAAAACTAAATCAAGCAAAACAATCCAATTAAATATAACCAAACAACAAACCCAAAAAGTTGTCCCAAGACAGAACCAGGAGGAACTCCACGTCCAAAGAGATGACAGTAAAAAAACCACGAAAATGAAAATAGATAAAAATCCTTACAGAGTGCTTCATGAAAGCTTTTTCAAGCAGCAGATCTTGTGTTATGAATGTATACAAAAATCATACCAAAGTGCTGTTGAGGTTATTGTTTTTGCATGGAAGTAGAACCCAAAAGAACATATTGCTTTGGTCCCGTTCATCAGACTAGTTTACTGTTTATTCCAAGCTGATTTGCTTTCTCTCCCTCTTTCTCTGCCTGTTGGGTGAAATAATTACAGTTTTCTCATTCGTTTGCTCCATTTCTAAACATATTTGATCAGGTCCATATGCTTTCTGTTTGGATAAGCAGCACCAGTTGACAATATATTTTTATGCTTACATCAGAAAATGTTTTTCCTCTTCTTGTCAGTGTTTTCACTGTTTGACGCCTTCTAACCTTTTCTTTTTATTTACTCTCTTCCAGGAGTGGTGAAATGCAAGAAGGAGCGTGGCTCTGCTGAGACGTGCCCTCAGTGCTCACATCCTCAACTCCTGAACCAGACCCATCTCCTGGAGTTGTCTGTGGGCAAGCTCGTCTGTGAACGCCCAGCTCTTCGATCCCCACTCAAACAATGGGACAATCCTCTTTGGGCGGAGTCTGAAGCTGAACCTGACCTCCCGTACACGCGGGACTTAGAAAAACCTTTGGGCGAACTGACCATTGTTCTCTCAGACAGCCACGGAAACCGTGCTTTTGTGTCGTGTGACGTGCGCCATCCGGGCGACAGCTCACCCATTGCGTGGGCTTCAAATCCGCAGTCACCCCTGGAGATATCTGTGAATGTGTCACTGGTGACCATCCTGGAGTGCGAGATCGATCGAGAAACACTGCAAAATCTTTGGCAACTGGTTGCTTACTACTATGAAACCCCAGCAATTTTAGAGAGAGGTCAACAGAGGGTTAATACTAGCAAAGTTACGTATCAGTATTCCCAGGCCGTCAATGAGAACTCACCCTATTTCACAGAATTGAAAGGATATTTAGAAGCGGAACCGGCATGGCTGCTTCAGCCTAGAGTCACAGTAAAGCTAAATAGGCAACTGACAACAACAAGGAAACTTGTCATGGATTTCACCACTTTAATCACCAAAAACATCAACAGCCATGAGAGGCAAGAGGATGACACTGATGTTACGTCCTCCTGGGCATTAATCCGTAGAGGAACAACTGGAAGGGTTCAAACGGCTCCAGAGGGTACGCAGGTCCATTTAGAGTGCAGTGTGGTTACCTCTGACCCAGAAGTAAAAGTAGAATGGATGCTTCCTGATTTATCCACAGTAGAGGAAGCCACAGATAAGGTATACATATCTGAAAGAGGCCAGCTTGTAATTTCAAATGCCTCTGTCTCTGATTCAGGTCTCTACCACTGCATAGTCCGAAGCAAAGCCGCTGTGGACTTGATGCCACTGAGGCTCACAGTCAAAGAGCGGTCACTTGGTCCAACAGCTTTAAATGGGCAGAAAATTATACTTGAGACAGGGAACTCTCTGTCTCTTCCTTGTGAGGT